GGTCTCTCCTGCCCGGGCTGGCTTTGAACCGCGATCCTCAGATCTCAGCCTCCTGAGTAGCTAGGATTACAGGCGTGAGCCACCGGTGCCCGGCAAGAGGTTTTTTTTTTTTTTTTACAGCAGCAATGGATCTCAGCTGGCGATTCTGCCTTTCAGGAAACATTTTGCAATGTCTGCAGGTGGGTGGGGTCATCCTACGGGGGAAGGAGGGTGATGCATAAAACCTCCTACAATACAGAGGCTAGTGTCCACAGCCCCAAACGCGAATGCTGCCCACCCACAAGACACGATGCAAGGTAACAGGAGTTTGCTCATGCCTGGGAAATGAAGGAAGCAAACAGAACTGACGCTACCTTCCTCCACTTCTTACTCTCCAGTTACAACAACTGTTCTACACTGCCCACAGGAACCGGACTGGGGTTTAATGGGATTTAATTTTTAATTTAAAGACATTGATACAAAACAATAATTCTGACTTAAGTCTCTTCATTGACCGAGGCATCTCGGTCTTTTGGATGATGAGTTGACACATGCATAATTCATTCTCAAAAAGGAGAAGTTTTAGATCCACAAATTCTCAGCAAGCGCTCTACCACTTGAGTCACAGATCTACTTCTGGCTTTTTGTGGTTCACTGGAGATAAGAGTCTCGTGGACTTTCCTGCCTGGGCTGGTTTTGAACCGTGATCTTCGGATCTCAGCCTCCTGAGTAGCTAGGATGACAGGCAGGGTCTACCAGCGCCTAGGCATCAAGACAAAAGGCAGTACATTGGCTGTCTAAGGTTCTTTGGCCACTAAGTATGGACCTTTATGTCTCTGCTTCCTACTGCACATCCTCTTCCATCTTATCTTGATGCTTCTAAAGTGCTTTGGAGCAGAAAACGACCACGACTGTGAAAAGTGAACGCAAGGCAACAGCTCTTGGGAACGCGTCAGGCTGTCTCCTCTGAGTGGAGTCCGTGAATTTCTACCACACCGACTTTCGCCACAGCTATTCCCAGGCATCCGCCCCTCCACCCCTCCCGCTCATCTGCAGCTTCTCAGCTGCGTCCTGGAAGCTGTCAGAGGAGCAATTTCCAATTCGGTGTTTACTTCTTAACAGCCTAAAGAACACTGGCACAGGCTATGAATTCCTTACACAGAAAGTAACCAGGAGGAGAAAGCAGGAAGGGCACCGAGAGGCACGAGCCTGGAGCCCAGGGCCATCGACTCACCTGTAACAGCCAGGTGCTGGTAGTTTGCACCTAGCTACTCAGAGAAGTGAGACTCACAAGATCACAGTTCAAAGCCAGCCTGGGCAGAAAAGTTCTTGAGATTCTATCTCCAAAATAACCAGTAAAGCCAGGCACCGGTGGTCTACACCTGTCATCCTAGCTACTCAGGAAGCTGAGATCTGAGGATCACGGTTCAAAGCCAGCCTGGGCAGGAAAGTCCGAGAGACTCTTATCTCCCGTAAAAAACCTGAAGTGGCGCTGTGGCTCAAGTGGTAGAGCGCTCGCCTTGAGCTGAAGAGCTGAGAGACAGCGCCCAGGCCCCGAGTTCAAGCCCCACAACTAACAAAACAAAAAATCCTCAAGGCCTTGGGGAACCAAGAAGACTAGAAGGAAGGAAGGCTCCTCTGGCAGCAGAGAGTACTCCCGCTTCAGCACGCAGGGCCCCGTCGGAGGCCAACAGGAGTGAAGCGCGTCCCGTGCTGCCTGGCTGTCAGTGCGAGCAATGCGGGCGGGCTTCGCGCCGCCAGGCATGCCACGCAGCAGAGCAGGGCGCTGCACAACCAGCAACAAAGCCTTCTTCTTTTCTGATGTCTCATCCTTGGGCTGGTCAGCTCTCAAGGGGGTTCTAAGTCCCTCAGCCCACAGTGCCACTGGCCAGTCCCAGCCCTCTACCCACTCACCAAGACGGGCCGCATCTCACAGAAAACCAGGAGGGACGCCAGCTCGATGTCCTCGCTGTACCCATTCTTCAGAGGCACGGATCTGAACCCTGCAGCGGGACGGGAGAAGGCGCCAAGGTGGTCGTTAACACGGATCTTCACTTTCCTGGGGTGCCTGGAGATCATGTGCCCCCTCGGAGACGCGGCGAAGGCAGTGTGCCATGCTTGGGGCTGGCATTCTGGAAGCCAGAGGTCTATCCCGGAGGTCAAGGGAGAGACTAGCATCCTGCACAGACTGGCTCACTCCAGGGCAAAGCTAAAGAAAAAACCTCTGCCATCTAGCAATGAAACCGATTCATGCAGAAGACATAGAAACCCACAGAACGTTCCGCATGGAATCAAGAGTGACTGCAGCTGCGGTTCACGTCCTCAAGCACTCCTGAGGCGGAGACCCCAGCGGGTCATGAATCCTCACACCCACTTCCTGCACGTGGCCCTTACCCCTAATGGGACCCAAGAGTGTGTTCATCTGAAAAGATTTACAATCTGCTTCTCCTGGGGCCATTTCTGAGGAGCTGTTTATCCACCTCTGAAAGCCATCCCCTATTTACAATTAGGGCACGGTTACTGTGGCTCAAGTGACAGAGCACCACCCTTGAACTAAAAAAGTCAAGCCAGGGCTTGAGGCCTGAGTTCAAGTATGAGTACCAGCTTGAAGAAGAGAGGGGGGAGAGGAGGAGGAGGAGGAAGAGGAAAGGAAGAGGAGGAGGAAGAGGAAGAAGGAGAGGAGGAGGAAGAGGAGGAGGAGGCAGAGGAGGAGGAGGAGTCATTTAAAAGCATGGCACCAATGAGCTTTGCATCTTCATCATCTACTTTATCACAGGTGTCTTAAAAAAACTCCTTGTTGAAGCCAGGTGCCGGTGGCTCATGCCTGCAATCCTAGCTACTCAGGAGGCTGAGATCTGAGGATCACAGTTCAAAGCCAGGCAGGGCAGGAAAGTCCATAAAACTCTTATCTCCAATAAACCACCAGAAAAGCAGAAGTGGCGCTCCAGGGATAGAGCGCTTGCCTTGAGCTGAAGAGCTGAGGAACAGCGCCCAGGCCCAGAGTTCAAGCCCCACAACTGACCAAAACAAAAAATCAAAAACTCTGTGTTGACATTGTAGCTGCTGATTCTCCAGGGCACACAATGCACTAACTAGAGACACTCTTCTCCATTTCCTGGATGCTGCCTCCAGCTTTTAAGCTAGTTTTCCTCAGAGAATGTTTTACACAATCGGTGCGCAGTGCTGAGGACTGAGCAGATTCCATACCAGCAGCGTGTAAAACACTGCACCCCATCTTATGACCATAATTCTCTCACAGAGAACGGGAGGGCTGGCTATACTCTGGTGACTTTTATTAGAGAAAGTCTCAAACAGATCGCTCAGTGGCCGATACTGTAAGGAGCATGCCGGCTCCCGCCTCGCCCCTGCCCTTTCACTCTATTTCAGCACTTTGCTATCTGTCCATCTTCTTAATCATGCAAAGCAGGGCGAAGGGATAAACACACTTTCGCCAAGATACCCAGGCAACTCACTAAGAAAGCTCAGTATGAGATCCTCCTTCTGATATTGTTCGTCCACAATGTAATCCATGTACAAAGAGGTTGATAAATGGTCCCTGCTCCTACACCATCTTTGTACTGAACTCCCCTGTGGATGTCTTGGTTAGTTAAATGTGTCCTTGTCTTCACCAAAGTATGCTCTTGGAACATAGAATCTCTGAATCAAGCACATTTGAAGGCATCTTAGCTGGGTGCAGGGGGCTGACTCACACCTGTTATCCTAGCTGCTCGACACAATGGCAATTCAAGGTCAGCCCAGGTAGGAAAGTCCACTGGACTCCCATTTCCAGTGCCCAGGCCCCATGACCGAAGAAAGAAAGGAAGAGAGGAAGGAAGGAAGGAAGGAAGGAAGGAAGGAAGGAAGGAAGGAAGGAAGGAAGGAAGGAAGGAAGGGAAGGGAAGGGAAGGGAAGGGAAAGGAAGGAAGGGAAGGGAAGGGAAGGGAAAGGAAGGAAGGAAGGAAGGAAGGAAGGAAGGAAGGAAGGAAGGAATCCACCCAGACTTCACAGGTGGCTGACACCTGTAATCCTAGCTACTACTCAGGAAGCTGAGATCTGAGGATAGAAGTTCTAATCCAGCCGAAGCAGGCAAGTCCATGAGACTCTGATCTCCAAACAGCAAGAAGCTAGAAGTAGAGCTGTGTCTCTGCTTCCATCCGCCTTGAGCAGAAAAGCCAAGCGAGAGCATAAAACAAAATAAAAAGAAGAGAAAAGCCACCCTGGCACCGTGGTAAGATGAGGACTCTGAAGACTTGCGGGCCTGGGACAGTGGTGCTTTATTCGCTGAGCTAATCCAAACGAACATGTGGCAAATCAGAGCAGCACAGCTTGAGTGCCGTGCTAAAGTAGTTAGCCGTGTTGGCAAGTTAACCCAGAAGCATTGCCAAATGTCAGGCCTCACGGGCTTACAAATGGACATTTCTAACCACCCCAGGAGTTGCAGTGTTCTCCCAAACTCTTGCTTAGCCTACCCACCAAGGAAACCAACGCCTACACCAACACCAAAAAGATGAAGAGTTCCGTCTGCTGTCTGTCCTCTACTGGAGCTGCGTGAGCCCATGCACGGAGGGCCTGGGAATCTGCGTTCTAGCCCGAAGCCCAGGGCAGGGCATCGTGCCACGGTCAGGTTAGACAGGGAGCTGAGGGGATGCCTGGCATGCTCCGAGCTTTCCAAGAAGACCCAGTTCCGCGCTGCACGGGACCCCGAGTTCCCCCGACAAGTCCAAAGGATTGGCTTTGTTAAATGACTAAAACGATCACCTTTCTCTTGAAAAAATAAATCTTAGAAAAGCAAGGGAACGGGGACCCCCTGAGGAATCCAGAAAGATCTGTGGCCTGAATATGGCACACCTCAGAAAAATACTAAGGATGGGAATTCAAGATGGGGGGAGGGGGAGGGGAGGCATTGGTTGTTGAAGCTCCCACGTGAGATCTAGGGACAAAGAAGACTCTTGCGAGTACACGGCTCTGGTGACAGGACCGGCACCCGGAGCTTCCTCTGGGGGATTCGATCTCAGCTGGGGGGGGGGTCCTTCCTCGGACGGGGCAGAGCCAGCGCCAGGTTGTGCTGGGTCCCACTTGAGTTGGTCCCAGGCACATACAACATGAGCCTCTGAAGCCACAAAGGTCTGTGGCTTTGTTGTTGTTGTTGTTTTTAATCAACATGGAAGAAAATCATCTTAATTCAAAGAATCCGCCTCCCGATGTTATCAAAAGAGGTGAACTCTGAAAGCCAGGAGGCCGACCCAAGCCGATCATCCCCCCCGCCCCTCCCCCCGCACACTGCCACCACACCATCGGGGGAACCCAGAGGGGACAAAGTGCTTGTCACTTTCTTTTTCTGGTCAGTCATGGGGCTTGAACTCAGGGCCTGAGCGCTGCCCCTGAGCTCTTTTGCCCAAGGCTGGTGCTCTCCCATTTTGAGCCACGGCACCACTTCCAGTTTTCTGGTGGTTCACTGGAGATAAGAATCTGATGGGAACTTTCCTGCCTTGAACCCTGATCCTCAGATCTCGGCCTCCCCAGTAGCTGGGATGGCAGGCGTGAGCCACCAGGGCCCAGCTTTTTCTTTTTTTTTAAAGCCAGCAGCACAGACCAAAGAAGGACGATGCGCTCGCTGGGGTCTCTTCATCCAGGTGCCCCTTACCTGACTTGATGCCTTTGATGGGGTAGGTGGCGTGGGCCAGGAAGTTGGGGTCGCTGAACATGTCTTCTTCGTAGACCACGAAGCGCAGGAAGGCCAGGCTGGGGTCATAAATCTCAAAGGTCACCTTCTCCTGGGTGGGAGCCCACACAGGGCTGAGGCCATTGTCATCTGCGGGACACTGAAGCTCATTAGAGGTGACCCCGGCCCCGCCGCCCTCTCAGAAGCCCGCTTTTAGCCACTCGGCATCTCAGCTTGGGCCCTAGGCCGGAAGGAATGCTGGGTCTTAAAGACCCACTGTTTCCGGGCTCTGCCTGGCCTCATGTCCTAGCAAAGCAAGCGCAAAGGGGAGGCACGGGACTGAGCTCAGGGCCTCAGCCCTCCAGCCACATCTCCCGCCCATCTTTGCTTTCAGTTTGTTTTTCAGTTAGAGTCTCGCTCTGCCTGGGCTAGCCTTGGACTGCAATCCGTCCTAAGAAGCAGGGGTGACAAACGCACACCCATACCCCCAGCCCTCACCTGCCCCCCTTGGGCGACCTCTCTCTGGGGGCAAAGGCTGCATCATCTGGTCAGGCTGGCCGCTTCCCCACCCCTAATGTGTCTGCTTTGAACCCAGCAGGTTCACCGGGTCCGAGCGTGAGTCAGAGAAGCTTGCCCTGAAGTCTCGACCTCATTTAGTCCCCACTAATCAGCAGCCACACACAGCACTGGGCACCAGGTCAGTGACTCAGTCAAATGACCTTCTGAACCAAATATGCAGGAAGAGGAATATCTGCACAACAGATGGGTGGGTGTGGCGGCACACACCTGTAATCCCAGCTACCTGAGAAGTAAGGACCCAGGCTTTTTCCCAGGCTGGCCTTGGATCATGACCTCTCTATCTGAAAAACAAACTAAACAAATGAAAGGACTGGAGGTGTGGCCCAAGCAGCTGGGCACCTGCCTAGCCAGTTCACGGCCCCGAGTTCCATCACTCACGGGGCCAACAAAAACATTTCCCAACCCCAAGGACCATCATCCGATGGATGAATCACTGGCTCAAAGGTGAAGAGAAAGAGCAGGCTACTCACTCACGACCGTTGTCTTAAACTTATTGTTGTCGTACTCCGCCCCACAGATCTCCACCTCCACGAAGGGGCAAGCGATACTTCGCCCAAGCTTGGGGAGGTGGCGAGCGCCAAGGACCTAAGACAACGAAGTCAGGAATGCAGCCCCGGCCGGCAGAAGCTGAACTTGCTCCCCCTCCCCACCCCTCCCCACCCACACCCCTCCCCCCTGCAACAAGCCAAGCATCGTTTGATTGGAGTTCACCCACGCCAGGTCTGGAGTGTGGACGGGGAGCGACTGTCCACAAGTGGCCCCCCAAACCCCAGGCTGCCCACCTCAGCGGGGGTCTAATCTGGGCAGGATAACAGGCACAAGACACACACACACACACACACACACACACACACACGGGGCGGGGCTCCTGCACACACACACACACACACACACACACACACACACACACACACACACACACACACACACGGGGCGGGGCTCCTGGGCTCCCAATTCCCCAGACCAGGGCACATGCGTGCTTCGTTTTCCTTAATCTTGTGAGAAATGCCATTATTTAAATTATCACCCCGAAACCTCTGAAGATGGTATTGGGGAGCCTTGGCCCTGCCACTAACAAAGGGAAGGCCCTCCCTCTTCTGAGTCGCAGGACCCCCGATCTCCTTCTCTTCCTGCCCGGAGGCTGGCTTCACAGGGGACCCCAAAAGACAGACTCACAATATCACCCCGCAAAGAACCTGGGGAAGTGCCAGGCTGGGCTCAGGGAGGTCCTCTCCCCCCCCACAGTGATCTTGGGGTGCGCTGGGCGCGTGGTCACTGCTGAGCCACGTGTGACAGCGCGTGTGCGGGGGGGGGGGGGCTGGGGCACCGCACCTTGACAGTGAGCGTCATCACGACCCTCCTCTGCGACTCGGGCGGTAGCGGGTCGTACTTCTCCCCGCGCATGCTCTCGGGCTGCAGGACGTAGCCTGTCCGGCCATTGAGCGAGAACAGCGCGTGGTTCATCTGCATGTATTTGTCTGGAAGGAGAGAGAGAGACGCTGCCAGCTGCCGGGGACTCCTTCAGCCGAGCCCCCTGGGGCCTCAGAACCGTAGACTCCATCCTGAAGCTCACTCTTCGTTCCCCACCCCCACCCCCCACGGACCCCCGTCTCTGGAAGAAGTTCTATGCATGAAGTCTGAGGCACCTGGATCCAGCCCAGCCTGAAGCCCCAGATCAGCTCCTAGGCGAAGCTCACATGTGTCCTCCCTGTCTCAAGCCAGACCGCCCCGACGTCACACGGCCTGCCTCGTCCCCATGTCCCCAGTCCCCCCCCCACCCCGCTGGTGAGGGCCCCGGCCGCCCCCCCGCCCCTCCCACCTGCGGTCTGGAAGTTGAGGGCCACCATCTGGGCGCCGCACAGCCACAGGCGGAACGGGTCGTAGTTGGAGGAGTCCACGCGCTGTCCTTTGGGGTAGACGCGCGTCAGGCCCTTCTGGTTGTACCGCAGCAGCTCCCGGGGCTTCTGCCGCACCATGCTGTCCGCCTTGGTCTCCACAAAGGAGCGGATCTCTCGGAAGTCGGGGTTCTCTGCACACAGAGCGGGGGGCACCCCATGTCTAAAGGTGTTGGGCCAGGGGGGCTCCCTGGTTCTCCCATATCTTCTCAGTCTAGACAGGCCGCAGTTTACCTGCTGTTTAAAGCGACCGATCTCCTTGACCAAGAAGGCACAGGAGTGGTGTAGGGAAAGGCCCGGAAGGGAGGTCTTAGACAGAAGCGGGAGGTTTGGGGGTGCAGGTAGTAGATGGAAGACACAGAGAACGGGGGCTGAGGAGAGGGCTTCCGCAGTCAGAAGGCTGCAGATGCAGGACCAGGGACCCAGCGCCCTGGGGAAATGAGAGCCACGGGGCGGAAGGGGAGTCGCACGGGGCGTGGGCAACGGGAAGGGGTGTTCAGGTGTGGCTGCGCTTCCTCTGCTCCCCCCGCCCCGTCCAGCTGGGAGGGGGGGTGGACCGCAAAGCAGTGGACACGCAGAGCCTGCCTGCAGTCCACCCTGAGCGCCAGCATCTTCCCTGGGTTCATTCTGGGGCTCGCCACTAGCTCTCTAGTCTCCTGTTCTGAAATCCCAGACAACAGAGAAGGAGTCGCTCGGAAGGCCCAAGCCTGGGTGATGACATCATCAAAGGTCTTGCTACTTTGGGGCGAATTTGGGAGAGGGTGCGATGTCTAGCCCCTCCCTCACAATGAGGACCCCAGTCCTCAGCCCCAGCGTCACGGCTGTGTCATGTGTGTGCAGAGTCTGACCCGGACGACCCCGTGGGGGCCGCTGCGATCTCACACGAAGGCAGCCTGGTGACCACAGACGGTGACCAGAGACTTGAGTGAGGGGGCCACAAGCCAGGAGCTGCAAGCCGCTTCCCGGAGCTGGGAGAAGCTAACAAGGAACAGGCCCAGCTCACCCCTGGACTGCTTTCTGTCCCTCAGGGCTGAGACTCAGTGTGCGCATGTCTAGCCACCAGGTCTGTGGCCATCTGCAGCAGGGGGAACAGATCTGCCTCTAGGTAGCTCCTGCTACAGAATGGCCGAAGTGTTCCAAGGAGTGGAGGTGTCTGCATCCCGGACTCCAGAGCCAGAAGAAAGCAGCCAGTGCCTCCGCCCTCTGACCTCCTCCCTCAGCCAGAGGCAGGGTCTGGGGAGGCTTACCTAGATTGTCCTTGGTTTTGCTGGTCGGCTTGCAGTAGACAACCAAGTCAGAGAGCTCAATGGCGATGGACTGGTTCTTCTCCCAGTACTTCATGTTGTTCTCCTGTTGGAGACCCGTCACCTCCAGCGACGGCCTTCCAGCCAGCGCCTGCGCCAGCGCCAGCTCCCGCAGCTCACCCCGCGCCCCGCGTCCCCACCTTCCTCCTCCCCACGCCCTCCCCAACTCTTGAGAGGCCCAGCTCAGAGCAAAGACTCAGTTCTGACTCCTGGTGGGGTGTTGTTGGGTTTTGTTAACCTTCTAATAATGAGACTTTAGAAACTAGTCTCATGAACTCTTAGCCAACATCAAAACCAATTAAGGAGAAATATAGATCAAAGACGGAGCAGAGCAGCCTTGAAGAAGATTTAGCTTCACCAACCATGCAGCAGCCAGAGATGGAGAAAGTGAGAGAGAAAACCTCCAAGTGAAATCACATGTGTTTCTCGATTCAGACAAGTGGAGAAGCTGTGGTGTACGCCTGTAATCCCAGCACTCAGGAGGCTGAGATCGGAGGATCGTGGTTCAAAGCCGGCCTGGGCAAGAAAGTCAGTGAGAGGGGGCTGGGAAGGTGGCTCAGCAGTAGAGCGCTTGCCTTGCATGCATGAGGCCCTGGGTTCGATTCCTCAGCACCACATAAGCAGAAAAAGCCGGAAGCGGTGCTGTGGCTTAAGTGGTAGATCGCTAGCCTTGAGCTGAAGAGCTGAGGGACAGCGCCCAGGCCCAGAGTTCATGCCCCACAACCAACAAAAAGAGAGAAAGAAAAAGAAAGAGAGAGAGAGAGAGAGAGAGAGAGAGACCCTTGTCTCTACTAAACTACCCAAAAAGCTAGAAGTGGCGCTGTGGCTCAAGTGGTAGAGCACACCAGCCTTGAGCAAAAGAAGCTCAGGGGCAGAGAGCAGGCCCTGAGTTCAAGCCCAGGACTGGCACAAAACAAAAACAAAATACACCAAGTCCCTACCCTGCAAAGAATCAATACCAAAAAGAAAAGAAAGGGGGGGAGAGGCTAGAGGTGAGCCCCAGGAGCAGAGCACAGAGCACCTGCCTAGCCAGCGCAGGACCCCGAGTCAAACACAAGAGTCATCAGGAAACAGAAAAATGAAAAAAACAAGCACAGAAGAATCTAGAGCCATCTGTGGGCCTCTGGTTCGATTCGGGGCCAGAGGGGCGATGGGGACGGCAGGCCACAGCAGGGCAGACGGCCGCGCCATGGGGCTCAGCACAAAGCCTTCGAAACATGACACGTCCCCACCAGGGAAGGAAAAGGGGGGTGGAGGGGTGTGCCCCCCCAGGGGGCCCCAGGCTGGCCGGAGTGGAAGCGGCCTGCAGGAAGTGACGCTCACCCTTTGGGGGGGGCTGGTGGGCTGGTGGACCCACAGAGAGCCTGGGGGCGGCACCTGCCATGCCACAGCACGGTGACAAGGTGACAGCTCATTCCCCACCACGCACGCCTCCCCCCGCAGCCGCTCAGGTCAGGGTCAGGCTCTTCCCGAGGGTCCACGCCCCGCGTCAGCTCTGCCAGCCGCACACTACGGGCTCTCCAAACCCCAACCCCACGGTCTCAAACCCAGCGGCCGGACACAGGTGCTGGCCTCAGGCCAAGGCGGGAAGGCCGCTGGGGCGGGGATCGAGCCCCGCGGGGCGCTGTGGGGGATGGATCCCGGCTGCTCTGGGCCTCGTTCACGCAGGACAGCGTGCGCAAAGGCCAGCCTGGCTTGGTTAAGAGCCAGAGGGCAACCGAGCACCAAGCACCACCCCACACTCTGATCCTGCTGGTCACGTTCCAGGGTCCCCTGCGGTCCCCTCTGCTTTCTAAGGAAAGGGCCGGCCGGCCTGGCCTCCTCCTGAGCCCTGTGCAGCCCTCTGGCCTGCGCCTCCCGCTGCCGGCCTCCACAGTGCCGCGGTGCCCTCCCGGGCCCAGCCCTACCTTGGTGTCGATCTTCCAGGTGATCTGTCGAATGCTCTGGAACCACTCGAAGAGCTCCTCCACGCTGTCCGCGGCGAACTCCACCGGGGGGTCCCCCTGCTTCTTGGGCTCCAGGATGAAGACGAAAGGTTTCTGGTTCTTTCCATGTGGGGCTTTTACTGTGGGGCGCAGCAGAGGCCACAGGGGCTGTGGGAACGGCCGGCCTGCCCCGCCGGCCTGCTCCTGCCCAGGCCGCCCACCCCGGAAGCCGTTTCTATTTCATGTTGAGATATGGCCTCGTAACTTTTCCCAGGCTGTCTTGGAACCTGTGGCATTCCTAGATAGCCTGGATTCCGATCTTGTCCCAATTGCAAGAGAATTGAGGAGAAATGTCCTCGAGCCCTCCTTTACTCGACCACACAGAACTGGGTAGGCTGTGCGATCTGCGCCTTATCAACCACCTGGCACCCCAACCCTGGCGGACAGGCCTGCTCGGGCGGCAGATTACAGTGTCATCGAGCTCCAGCTCGAGCGCTAAGCCTCAGACGCGCCTCCCCCAGGTGCCCTCCCAGTTCGTCGGCCTCAAGCCACGCCTCGGCAAGCACCTACCAACGTTGTAGTTATTCAGGTCCAGGATCCCTCTGCAGAGAGATCCTAGGGGATTATCTTCCATAATCTGTGAAGAAACATGGCATTAGTCGTTAGTCGGTCGTCAGAACAGGAGCGATGAAAAGCCAGCCGGTCCCCACAGCCCTGAGTCCATCCGAGAGAGAGACTGCGGGACTGTTAGAGCATGATTTCATTACAGGGTCTGGAGGGGGGGGAAGGGGCAGCTAAAGAATGAGGCGCAGAAAGAGGATGGACCCAGACTCTAACAGGTGCCTGTAGGTTCTGCGTTTCATCTTCTAAACTCACAAAAATGTGCCTAGTGGATTCCAGAACACCCTAGCCCCCTTCTCTGGCACCACTATGGAATGGGAAGTGGTGGAGTGCTAGCCTTGAGCAGAAAAGCTCAGGGGCAGTGGCCAGGTCCTGAGTTCAAGCCCTAGGGAAAGAAAAGAAAAGAAAAGGAAGGCAGGGAGGGAGGGAGAGAGAAAGAGAGGAGAGAGAAGGAGGAAGGGAGAGAGGGAAGGAAGGGAGGGAGGGAGGGAGGGAGAAAGGAAGGAAGGAAGGAAGGAAACCCTTCTGTGGCTCCTCATGTCCTGTGGAAACAATGGTTCGTCCAGTCATGCGTGTTTTGGGGCCTTCTGAGCCCTGAGAAGCCCCCAGCCCCACCCCTACCCACCAGACATATATTGCGTCTGCATTGCAGCAAATTCTGCAAACACTGTGGCCTGTAAAACTAGGTATGTGGGACACCTCACATTCTGTGGCTCCGACTACACTCCCACCACACACACACACACACACACACACACACACACTCACATACACACACACTCACACACACTAACTCACCATTCACACACGCTCACACACTCACATACACTCTCACACACACTCATACTCACACACACTCACCATTCACACACTCTCACACTCACACACTCTCACACACTCACACTCACACACACAGTCACACTCACACACAGTTTCCTTCCTGCGAATCTCACACTACTGAGCTCTAACTTGATTTTGATTTTTTAAGGCTCAGGCACGCTTCCTCCAGGGAGCCCTCCCGGACTGGCCCTGCCTCCCGTGTGAAATTAGTGCTCTGGGATGGAAAGAGATCTCCAGTCCTTATCATAAGCCTGGGCCCTCGCCCTTGGCATGGTGCTGGCGCAGGGAAGCCAGCCTTCTGGGTAAAGGCGGTTGGGAAGGGAAGAGAGGCTTCCTGTGAGCTTCGGGTCAGGGTGCCTGGCAGGCACCCCTCCCCTCCCCGCAGGCACCCCTCCCCTCCCCACAGGCACCCCTCCCCGTAGGCACCCCTCCCCTCCCGGCAAGCACTCCACGCGTCTGGCTTCCAGACCAACCATGCTGCGTGTGCAACTGCACTGAGCACGGGACAAAGCCCCGCATGGGCAGCCAGCGGTGCCCACCCCCGCACCCCAGCCCCCCC